ACAACGACTTCCGCTCCACCTACTCTGCCATTCTGGACAAATGGATGGAGCTGGATCCCGACCCCATTGTGAATGGCCAGTTCTGAGCAGTTTAGACCTGTTCCGGAACTAAGCCGTCGCAACTGGCACTGCGAATCACAGCGACACACCTTTAACGAGAGGAATGCGAGGGACCGTAATGAGTGATAGCAACATCGAACTGATGGCCCACCTGATGCGGCGGGCCGGGTTCGGCGCCAACCGTGATGAGCTGGAGCATTGCGTGGAGCGGGGATACGAGGCAACCGTAGAGGATCTGCTGGACACGTCCAACCCCAACAACATGCCCGACGACCTGATCCGCCGGTATCATGTGGAGCAGTCGGAACTGCGCGACTTGGCCGGGTCCGCAGCCTACTGGATGTACCGGATGATCTCAACAGAGAGCCCGCTGGAAGAGAAGATGGCCCTCTCCTGGCACGGGCTGTTTGCCACTGGATACGCGAAGCTTAACCAGGCCCGTTCGCGGCTGAACCAGGTCGAGATGTTCCGGCGCAACGGCCTGGGCTCCTTCGACGAGTTGCTGGTGGAAATCTCCAAGGACCCGGCCATGCTTGTTTGGCTGGACAACCAGGACAACCATGGCGACGCCATCAACGAGAACTACGGGCGGGAGCTTCTGGAGCTCTTCTCCATGGGCATCGGCAACTACACGGAGGACGATATCAAGGAATGCGCCAGGGCGTTCACCGGCTGGACCCTTGGCAATGCCGAGTACATGTCAGTCCGGGCCTACAAGGACTCCATCTGGCCTTATGGTCGGATCGCGTGGCATTTCGACTACCGCGAAGAGGACCATGACGCCGGCGAGAAGACGTTCCTGGGCGAAACCGGGAACTTCAACGGCGAGGACATCATCGGAATCATTGCCAAGCAGGATGCCACGGCCGAGTTCGTTTGCACCCGGTTGTTCCAGTTCTTCGCGGCCGACGAAGTTACGGAGGAGGGCAGCCGCTGCATCGCCTCGATGAAGGAGACATATTTCGAGTCGGGCTACCAGGTCAAGAGCGTGTTACGTACGCTGTTCAACTCGGATTACTTCAAGTCGAACGATGCCCGCTTCGCCCGCGTGAAGGGACCGGTGGAGATGGTGGTGGGGGCCGTCCGGATGGCTGGCGGTCACCAGACTCCGGAACTGGGAATCGAGCGCGTGTCCAACAACATGCTTTACATGGGCCAGGGGCTGCTGCAGCCGCCCACGGTGGAAGGCTGGCACGAGGGCGTCGAGTGGATCGACAGCGGCTCGCTGGTTGAGCGGGTAAACTTCGCCGCCAAGGAACTGTCCGACGTCAACAGCCCCGGCGTGCGTGCAATCATCGACCGGCTGGCCTCGACCAGCGACGGCGTCCTGTCGCCCGACGAATTCGCCGACGGATGCGTTGACCTGCTTGGTCCCATCTCAGTGGGTGAAGATACCCGGGCCGTCCTGGTGGACTACGCCGCCCGGCAGGGCAACCTTGACCTGCGCGGCCATCAGCCCGGCGACGAAGCTGAGAAGCGGGTGGGCAATATGCTTCGCCTGATCGCTGCCACTCGCGAATATCAATTGGTCTAACCAGGCAATAAGATTGATCCCTCCACCAGCAGGTGGAGGGTTTTGGTGAAGGTAAGTGACCACTCAGACACAATCGGCCAGCATCACGCTGGACTACGTCAAGACAATCGGCATCGTTAACAATGGCCTGAACGGGCGGGGATATGCGAACCCGTACGACTTGGCCGTGAGCAGCGACGGGCGGATCTTTGTGCTCAACCGTTGCGACCCGGCCCGAGCCGCCGCCATCCGCGTGGGTGTGTGCAACCTGAACGAGGACTATCTCTACGAGTTCGGTGACGGGGCTGGAGACGGGGACACCCACTTCCGCTGGCCGGTTTGCTTGGCCTTTGACGGCCAGGGGCACCTTTACGTCACTGACGAGCAGAACCAGCGGGTGACGGTCTTCGACAGTGAGGGGGAGTTTCTACGGAAGTGGGGTATCAAGGGCAGCGGCGACGGTGAGTTCAATGGCCCTGCTGGTGTCGCGGCCAGTCCCGACGGTTCAATCTACGTCGTCGAGCAGCACAACGCACGAGTGCAGAAGTTCACTGCGGACGGGGCTTTCGTTGGCAAGTGGGGGTCGCAAGGCAGCGGACCCGGCCAGTTCAATCTGCCCTGGGGGGCGGCCTCAGACAAGGCAGGCAACGTTTACGTCGCGGACTGGCGCAACGACAGGATTCAGAAATTCACTGGCGACGGCGAGTTCTTGGCCGCCTATGGTTCGTCCGGTGGCACGGAGGGAAAGTTCCAGAGGCCAACCAGTGTTGCCGTGGATGATGAGGGATACATTTACGTGGCGGACTGGGGTAACGAACGGGTACAGGTCCTGGATTCCCGAGGGCGGGTTCCAGTTGATTCTGCGGGGTGAGGCAACGGTGTCCAGATGGGCGGAGGAGTATTTCGCAGCCAACCCCGAGGAGTGGGCGGAGCGCCAGCACGCAGACCTGATGCCGCAGTTGCCACCGCACTTGAACACTCCGTACCACATCTCCTCGCAGACCGAGCCTTACTTCTGGGGCCCGGTTTCCGTATCGCTGGACGGCGAAGGGCGGCTGTACGTGGTGGAGACCAACCGGCACCGATTCCAGGTGTACCAGAAGCGGTAGCCCCTCCCGATAACCACGGGAATCGTAAAGAGAAACGGGGCGCATTGAGGTGCGCCCCTGTTTCGTTTCCCAGTACTCGCAGGAAGGCTAGGCGGTCGCGGACAGCCCCGCGGCCTGGATACCCGCAAGGGCAGCGTCCTCGTCCTCTTGGGCTGAGCCACCGCTACCGCCGACGGCGCCCACCAGTTCGCCGCCCTTGAACACTGGCAGTGCACCCTGTCCGGGGATCATGTGCCCGCCCTCCATGGCCATAAGGCCCCGGAAAACCGGTGCCATCGCGTTTTCGGTCAGTTCACCGCTGGCGCGCCCGAAGCAGGACGCCCAACTGCCTTGGCCCGCGAGATCGGTGGCGTGCGCCAGGAAGCGCCGTCGGTGCGCATCATCGTGATCAGGTCGCCACGGGCATCCACTACCGAGATGCTCATCCTGACGCCCATCTCCAGCACCTTGGCCTTGGCGCCCGCAAGGATAACTTCAGCTTCCGCCAATGTAAGTGTGACCATACTTCACCTCCGAATTCATAGCCTTTTCGGCCGCCCGTATTGTAGGCCAGAAAGGCCGAATGCGGAATGGCAAAGTAACGAGCGAGGCTCCCTAGGGTGCGTACAGGTCGGTGTCGGGATAGAAGGCGTACCACCCGAACCAGTAAGCGTCCTTCGACGGCAACCGCTGAAGGCGCTGCGCTGGAACGCTGAGGTTCTCCATAGCATCCTCCAGAACCAGCCACTGTGCTCCAGTGTTATCGACCAGTTGATTGTCGTCAGAAAACTGGAAAGTCAGGCCCTGCCGCTCGTAGGCCCGGCTTCCACCGTTAGCCGTCGTGATGATGACGACTTCCTGATCGCCGACCGTATCGTTGACCACCGACTCCTGCGTAAGGATGTCGCGAGGGTAAGCCCTGGACTGTTCGCCAAATGTCAGCCCAAAAACCTGTTCCTTGATGGGCCAGGGTGTCGTCGCTGATACCCACGGGAAACATGGTTCCTGAGTCGGCCCGGTACGAGAAATAGATGGACTTGGGATCGTCCTCGGAAAGGTACTGATCAGGTCCGTACACTCCAGTTTCATTGCTGATCACGGTGGTATCGGGATGTTGCGCCAGCCACTCTTCCCAAGTGGTCAAGACGTTGGGCAGCACCTCCAGCCGAATGCCGCTGCCGGCCAGTTGTCCGACCACAGGCTCGCCCCGGAACTGGTGCCAGAGGGTCTCGGTGGCCCTGTCGTACATAAGCTTGTTGCTGCGATAGAGCATTCCCGAAGTGCCGAACTCGGTGTTTTCGCCGTCGATCTCGGTGGAATACACGATTCCAGAACCGCAGAGGGTTCAATAGGCAAGTGCGAATTGCACCCCTCCGACGATGTCGTTGGCCATCTCGTGGGGGTTCAACACGCGGAGCGGGTAGGCCCGGTGTTCACCGTTGATGGAGACTCCAAAAACACGGTCGCTCGGATCGAGGTATGTTGCATCTTCGGGTGCCAATACGGGCGGGAATCGCAGGTCTGGGATGCCGTCGCGCCGCACGCCTCCCCACACGACCTCTTCCAGGCGTATGGTGGTGGGCACCCCTTTGTACATGAACTCGCCCATCGCCTCGTCGATGATGCCAAACAGCGCTCCCTTCCAGCCGTCATAACCCTCAGGGGCAGTGACCTGTGGATTCTGGGCCAGCCACTTCACCCAGTAGTCCCATTGGTACTGGCCATCGGGGCGATGGTGAACTCACCTTCGGGAATCCTGTCTCGAATGCGAACCATGAATGAGGCCAGTGTCAGCAGTGATTCATCGTCCTGCTGGAACCGCATGAACTCCAGTAACACCGGAATAAATGACTCATTGTGGGAATAAGCCATCTTTCGACCTGCGTCAGCGAGAGAGAAATTGAAAGTGGCGTACATTAGGTCAGTAGGCGCATCCGGCAGATGTCCGAGGTCGTCGGCGTTCAGCGGAGTCGATTGGACCGGGAATCCGGGGGTCTCCGTTGCTGCCTCCGTCGGGCCTGGGGTTGCACTTGGCTCGGCGGTGGCTGCCGCAGTGGTGGGCTGCCGGACTGCAGCAGTGGTCGAGGGTGTTACTGTCGGCGGAGGTGAGATGACGAAATTGGAAGGGTCGGGCTTGGAGTCCGACGTGCAGGCCAGCGCCGACACAACCAGCGCCACTGCCAGGATTACCCCTGGGAAACGTGGGTTCAATAGTGCGCCCTTTGGCATGATGCCATCCTGAAGGAAGTGTGCGATACGAAGAACTGGTATGAAATGCCGGCGTCCGGAGACGTAATGGAGGATTCCAGACAGGGATGTGGAGGTGGTCGCTGTGATGCCTAGGCAGTCTCGCGAAAAAGCTCGCGGCCTATCAGCACTCGGCGGATCTCGCTGGTGCCCGCGCCGATCTCGTATAGCTTGGCGTCGCGGAGCAAACGTCCTACGGGGAATTCGTTGATGTATCCGTTGCCGCCAAGGACCTGGATGGCCTGGAGGGCCATCTGCGTAGCCCGTTCAGCGGAAAACAGTAGGCAGCCCGCGGCGTCCTTGCGGGAAATCATGCTCCGATCGGCAGCACGGGCCACGGCGTAAGTATAGGATTGGCAGGCCGACAGCGCGGTGTACATGTCCGCCAGTTTGCCCTGGATGAGCTGGAATTCCCCGATGGGCTGCCCGAACTGCTCGCGTTGGTGAACGTAGGGCACAACGGAGTCCAGACAGGACTGCATAATTCCAAGCGGTCCACCGGTCAGAACCAAGCGTTCGAAATCAAGGCCGCTCATCAGCACAGCCACGCCGCGGCCCTCTTCGCCCAGCACGTTCTCCTCGGGGACCTCGCAGTCTTCGAATACTAGTTCGCTGGTGCTGGACCCGCGCATACCCAGCTTGTCCAGTTTGGGCGAAGGTTCGAATCCGGGGAAACCGCGCTCCACCAGAAAGGCGGTGATGCCCCGTGAGCCCGCGTTCGGATCGGTCTTTGCGTAGACCACCAGGGTGTCGGCTTCGGGGCCGTTGGTGATCCACATTTTGCTGCCGTTGAGGACGTAGTGGTCGCTTCGTTTTTCGGCCCGCAGTTGCATGCTCACTACGTCGGATCCGGCGTCGGGCTCGCTCATGGCCAAGGCGCCGACGTGCTCTCCACTGACCAGCGGCGGGAGGTAGCGGCGCTTCTGTTCTTCATTGCCGTTGTGGAATATCTGGTTCACGCATAGGTTGGAATGGGCCCCGTAGCTCAGTCCAACGCTGGCAGAACCGCGGGAAACCTCCTCCATCACCACCGTGTGAGCCAGGTAACCGAGTCCTGCGCCGCCGTACTCCTCCGAGACCGTAATTCCCATCAAACCCAATTCTCCGAGTCGCGGCCACAGGTCTCGGGGGAACTCATTGCTCTGGTCGATTTCGTCCGCGCGGGGAGCAATCTCAGCGGCAGTGAATTGTCGGACCGTCTCCCGGACGATGTCCACCGTTTCGCCGAGTTCGTGATTCAAGGTCGCCCAGGGTGTACGACGGGAACTCATGATGAATCCTAAAGTGGATTGCGGGACCGGTTCGCTGCCACTATACGGTGCGGTGGTCTATGATGCGGCGCGCCTTGAACTGTGTACGTTCAAACTCCCCAGCCGGTTTCAGTTCCACGGCTACTCCAACGCCGAGGGCGCGGCGGAGGGCAGCGGTAATCTCCTCCTGCACACGATCCAGCGCCGCGGGGTCCGATTCGCGTTGGACGTAGGTGTCGGCGAGGACCTCGGTCTGTACCGTGAGCCGGTCGAGTTGTCCGCGCTCCCGTTCAAGGAGTAGCCGGAACTCGCCTCCGAAAACATCCATGCTGCGAAGAATGTCCTCTATGCGTGATGGGAACACATTCTGTCCGCGAACTATGATCATGTCGTCGGCGCGCCCGTAGATGCCACGGGTCAGGGTTGGGTAGGTTCGGCCGCAGGGGCAGTCGATCAAATCCCATTGGGCGATGTCTCCGGACCAGTAGCGGATCATCGGCTGCGAGGTGCGCTCGGTATGGGAATACACCGGGACTCCTTCGGCCCCGAGAGGCAGATTTCTCCGGGATTCCGGGTCCACCAACTCGGTGTAGACGATGTCTTGCCAGAGGTGCATTCCGGTGGACAGATGCCGACAGCCGGAGTTGCTCATCCAGGGCGTCATCTCCGCCATGCTGCCCTGGTCCACCACATAGCAGCCGAAGGTGTCTTCGATCAGCCTGCGGGTGGCTGGGACGCTGGCGCCGGGCTCGCCGGAGAAGAACATGAACCGGAAACCGAAGTCAGTGAGCGGGTCGAGTCCCATCTGACGGGCAGTCTCGGCCAGGTAGAGGGCGTAGGATGGCGTGCCGTACAGGGCCGACGGCTTGACCATTGCACACCATTCAGCGGCCCGCTCGGTCTGGCCGGGCGCGCCGCTGCCGAAGGGAAAACAGGTTGCGCCCAGTCGTTCCGCGCCGACCAGTGCGCCCCAGCTTCCGACGTAGAGGCTGAATACGGCTGCCACCATTACCATGTCATCGGGACGCAGCCCGGCACCCCAGAGGATGCGAGCGTGGGCCTCAGCGATGCGGTCCCAGTCGTCGTGGCCGATGCCGAACACGGTGGGCCGACCTGTGGTCCCGGAAGTACCATGAACCCGGAAGACCTCTGAGGGCGGGATGCACAGGAACCGACCGTAAGGAGGGTGCTCTTCCTGTTCCCGGCGGATATCTTCCTTGGTCAGGATAGGGAGCTGAGCAAATTCTTCGAGGCTGCGCAGGTTTTCCGGGTCAACCGTCGCTCCGCCATAGAACTCGGGATAAAAGCCGGAATTCTGAAATGCGTACCGGACCTGCCCGCGCAGCTTGGAGAGAATTGCTTCGCCCCGCTCGTCGGGCGACATGGTCTCAAGCTCCGGCGACCAGTGTTCCTGATCACGAGCAGGAATGTAACCTGATGAATACGAGGGAGGCCAAGACGGGTCGGTCATGGTCGGCCCCCCTAATTTTCCCGCCGGACGTTGGAGAAAATGAAGGCAATCATTTCCGAAGTGAAACTTCCAACTGGGAAGACGCCATGGATCCCCAATTTCTGCAGCGGCTCTACATCGTCCTCTGGGATGGTGCCACCCACCAGCACAAGGACATCATCCGTCAATCCGCGATCCTCGAGTGCCTTGGTTAGGCGAGGCATCAAGCGCATGTGCGCCCCTGACAGGATGCTGATACCCACAACGTCGGCATCTTCCTGCAGAGCGGTCTGGGCCACCTGGTCGGCGGTGACGCGCATTCCCATATAGACGACTTCGATACCGGAGTCGCGCATGGCCCTGGCGATGACCTTGACGCCACGGTCGTGGCCATCCAGCCCCAGCTTAGCGAGGAGGACTTTGGGGGGTGTCTGTTGGTTAAGGTTGGTCAACGGTGAGGTCCTTTGATCGGAGGTGTACTGGACTGTGAATTGAATTCAAGGTGGCAGATTCGCCGTTCGAAAATCTAGGCTAGAAGAAGCGGGCCCGGATTCGAGGCGCTGGAATCAATTGTTCATTAACTGGGTCTGCGACCAGACGGAATATCTCCAGAGTAGTTGCCCCAAGCAAGGGTGTGTTGCCTGCATGTCCAAAGACCACGGGTACCGGCAACGCCCTGCCTTGAATGCGTACTGTCGCGCTGCCAATAGCATATTCCACAAGACTGTTGTCGGCCAACTCAAAGATGTCAGACTCGAGCCGCTCAACTCCCAGTTGTTCGAGCAGGTCTTCTGGCAGCATCGTGTAAATTGCGCCGGTGTCGACCATTGCTTCGACAGCCACGAATTCCTCGCGGGTGGGGTTTCCCACCTCCAGCTGTACACTGAATGCTCCCACTTGGCCGAATCTGCCTCGATTCCTGTCGTGCCTAGAATACGCCGGGGTCTACGTATTCGCCGTAGACGTCTCGGAGGGTGTCGAGGATTTCGCCTTCGGTGGCGAGGGCGGTTACGGCTTGCAGGGTTGCAGGCATCAGGTTTGCATCGTCCTTGGCGGCCTGCTTCAATGAGGACAGGGCGCTGCGCACTTCAGTTGAGCTTCGGCCGCTGCGCGCCTCTGCGAGACGGCTCTTCTGCCATTCCTCCTCTTCTGGGTCGAATTGGAACAGTTCGAGCTTTTGCTGGGTCTCCGACTGGTACTGGTTTAGGCCCACGATGACCTGCTGTCCGGACTCGATTCGTTGCTGATACTCGTATGCGGAGCGGGCGATTTCGCGTTCGATGTAGCCGGAGCTGATGGCTTGAAGGATGCCGTGGTGCATTGAGCCGGAGCCCATCTCGTCGATGCGGCCGATGTATTCCAAGGCGGCGTTCTCGACTTCGTTGGTCAGCGACTCCACGAACAGCGATCCGCCGAGAGGATCGGCGGTGGCGGCTGCGCCGGACTCGTGGGCGATGATCAGCTGAGTTGCCAGCGACATACGCATGGCGTCTTCGGAAGGAATGTCGTAGGCCTCGTCATAGCCGCTGACGTGCAAGGACTGCGTGCCGCCCAACACGGCGGCGAGCGCCTGCAGGGTTCCGCGCGCGATGTTGTTCTGGGCGTCCTGACGCATCAGGGTCGAGCCGAGGGTCTGCGTGTGGAACCGCATGCGCATGGACTCCGGGCGCGTGGCGCCGTAGCGCTCCTTCATCACCCTCGCCCACATCCGCCGGGCGGCCCGGAACTTGGCGATTTCCTCGAATATGTCGTTGTGTACGCCGAAAAAGAAGGACAGCCGGGGCGCGAAGCTGTCAACGGGCATGTTGCGGGCGAGGGCAGACTCCACGTAGGCCATGCCCTGGGCGATGGTGAAGGCCAACTCCTGTACAGCGTCGGAGCCGCTTTCGCGGGTGTGGTAGCCGGAGATGGAGATGGTGTACCAGTTTGGTACGTGTTCGGTGCAGAACTCGACTATGTCCGTGGTGAGTTTCAGCGATGGTTCGGGTCCAAGGGCAAAGGTCTTCTGGCCGTGGAACTCCTTGAGGGAATCGTTCTGCACTGTTCCCCGGAGGGCAGCCAAGTCGACGCCGCGGCCCTGCGCAACGGCCAGGAACATGCTGAGCAGGACTATGGACGGGTGGTTGATCGTCAGCGATACACTCACCTGATCCAGTGGGATCTGGTGGAACAAGTCGTTCATATCGCGGACTGTGTCGATGGCGACGCCAAGGCGTCCGACCTCGCCCTCCGCCAACTCGTGGTCCGAGTCGTAGCCTGTCAGCGTTGGGTGGTCGAAGTCGGTGCTGATGCCCGTCTGACCGTGCTCCAACAGAAACCGGTAACGCTCATTGGTTGCCTGCGCCGTTCCGAACCCGGCGATCTGTCGGCGAGTCCAAAGCCGGCCGCGGTACATGTCGGGGTAGGGCCCGCGGGTGAAGGGAAACTCGCCCGGGCGGCCAAGGTCGCGGTCGAAGTCAAAGCCCGCGGCTGCTTCTGGTCCGTAGACCGGTCTGACCTCCAGCCCCGATAGCGTTTTGTATTCCGGCTGACGGGAGTTGGCGCTGTCGCTCATTTCCCTTCCTCTAGTCTGCGATTGTCCGGATTCTGCCGGGTCGGTTAACCGACCCGGACGTACTTGTCGATGCTCTTTTCCGCTGTGAGAGCCAGGTAGAGGTCGCCGTGCGCATCAACCCAGGAGCCGTGGGCCGAACGCCCGGGGAATCGTTCCAACACTTTGCCTTCACCGTCCAGGACGCTGATCTGGGGAGGCTTGCCGTCCTCGGGACGCTCGCTGGTGTAGAAGATGCCCTCGCTGTCTTGCGAAATATCCAGCGGACGCTGCATGTCGGTCCACATGGTGATGTACTCGCCATCGGGGGAGAAGACCTGCACCCGGCTGTTTTCGCGGTCGCACAGGTAGATGCGTCCGTCCTGGCCGACGATGAGACTGTGGGGGAGGTGGAACTGGTTGGGGCCCCCCTTGCCCGGCTCGCCCCACGAGGAGATCAGGTCGCCGGCGGCGCTGAAGCGGTGCACACGGGCGTTGCGGTAACCGTCGGAGACGTAGAGGTCGCCGCTGGGCGACGGCACCAGTTCCGTCAGGTAGTTGAACGGCCCTGCGGCGCGGGGGCAGACCTCGCCTGCAACCTCGCAGCCGGTGTCCGAGAAGACGCCCTTTGTCCCGATGGTAAGCAGTGGAGTGCCGTCGAGGGTGCATTTCTCAGCTATGCTGCCCCTCGCGATCAGTCACGTACACGATGTCGTCGGCGATGTAGATGCCGTGGGGGTTTTCATAGCGTCCATTGCCCCACGAACTCAGGTAATTGCCGTCCCGGTCGAAGATCACTACTGGTGGTTCGGCGCGCTGGAAGGCATAGACCCGGTCCTGTGAGTCGCTGGCCACGGCGCTTACGGTGCCAAAAGCCATGCCCTCTGGCAGGCGAGCCCAGTCTTCGATTACCTCGTAGGTATACTTGCCGCTTCCTACTGTAGCCAAAGCAAGTGCCTCCTTATTTCTGGCTTGGTCCCGATGAGATTAACCGTCAACATACTACCATAGTGGTGTGGCGGCGAGACCAGATTGCCCTATGCGCGTCCGTTATAGACGTAGTGCGGTCCGTCGGATGGAATGCTCCAATCGTCGTAGAACTGGTGGATGTACGGGAGCAGACGCGCAGCCATTTGACGAGTCGCGAGGGTTTCCTGTTCGATGGGACGAGACAGTTGCTCGCGAAGCTCAGCAACGACGGCCTCCTCGTCGGCCTTCACCGACCTGCCATTTCGCAATACGACCTCACCGTTGATGAGGACGGTATCGACGTGGGTGGATTTGCCCCGGTAGACCACGGCGTTCACGGCATCAGAGGCGACATCTCCGGTGCCTTCGAAGTAAGGTGCGGTCATAGCCTCCCAATCCAGCAGGACCATGTCGGCATAGCGTCCCGGCTCCAGTGTGCCGATGCGCCCGTCAAAACCGGTAGGGCGGGCGGCGTTGGCCGTGGTCATTCGAAGGGCTTGGTGGGTGTCCAAGGCCGGACGCTCCAGACCGGGCTGGCGGTGCAGCTTGGAGGCCAAGCGCATTTCCTGGAGCATGTCGTCATCGTCGTTGATGGCGGTGCTGTCGGTTCCGATGGCCACGTTAACACCACCCGAGATCATGGCATTGACGGGCGCGATGCCGTTCTTCAGGCGCAGGTTGGAGCTGGGATTGTGGCAGACAGTGGTCCCCGCGGCGGCGAGCAGCTCGATGTCCCCATCGGTCAGCCAGACTGAGTGAGCGCAGGAAAGCTCCGGTCCCAGAAACCCGAGGTCAGCTAGATGGGCGACTGGAGTTTTGCCCCACCTTCGCACGCCGTACTCTTTCTGGTACCAGCTTTCAACAAGGTGCATATGGACGGCGGCGCCGTACCGCGTGGCGAGTTCCTTGGTGCGGAAAAAGAAATCGTCTGATGCCCACTGTACATTGCTCGGGCTGAGCAGTACCGAGACCAGACCGCCCGACGCCTCCAGTCCGTGGCTCTCACGGAACGATTCGAAAAAGGAGAAGTAATCGTCTTCAGGAAGGTCTGTGACTGCCAGGTACTGGCGCACTGCCGATGCCAAGTCGGCGGGCAGGCCGGACAGGAAGGCCTCGTCGTCGTGGTATACGACCCGGTTCTGGCCGCGGTAGTAAACGGAAAAGGCGGTCCGCATGCCGGCGTCTCCGAACGCACGCAGCACCTGCTCAGATTCCTCGACCATCCCGATAGTCGGCGTCCGCGGATGGTTGTACATCACGTTCGTGGTCCCCGACTTGATCATCTGGATGGCGGTGTACAGGGTGATCAGGTGCCAGTCGACAGGCCGTCGACCCCAGCCGTCCACGATCCACGATTCCAGACAGCCGTCGACGCTGCCAAACTGGAACGTAGAGACACCCCGCCCGTGGTGATGGGCGTTGGTCAGGCCCGGCATCACGAGGAACTGTGGCCCGCCGATGACCTCGTCAACCTGGAGGTTCTTCAGTTCATCGTAGGTTCCCACCGCCTCGATGAGTCCGTCGCGCTGCAGGACGGCACCGTCGCTGATGACCCTGCTTTCGGACTCGCCAGTTCCCGCTTCGCAAATGACGTATCTGCCCCGAATCAGCGAGGTCGCCATGCCTTCCTCCCGCCGGAGTGAATGCGCCTATCATAGGGCCGACCGGAGCGGTGTCAAGGTAGAGTGGTGGCGTATAATGCGCCGAACGAATCAGGGCTTGAATCCATGTTGGAGGGCTGGTCATGGCAGGACTGGAAGGAAAGGTGGCACTGGTTACCGGGGCCGGCGGGATGCGGGGCGTTGGCCGGGCCACGGTGATGAAGCTGGCCGGGCTGGGCGCGGACATTGCGTTGACCGATGTGCACCGCGAGACGGAAGACCTGCCGCCCGCCGAGGTTAGGAACAGTTGGCGCGGTATTGATGAGGTGAAAGAGGAGATCGAAGCAGAGGGGCGCACAGCCTTCCCGGTCTACTGCGACCTGGGCGACAGCGGTCAGATCGAGCGGATGGTGGAGCAGGTGATGGACCACTATGGGCGGATTGACGTACTGGTCAACAATGCCCGAGCCATCATCGGAAGGGACAAGGTGTCGGTTACCGAGCTGGAGCAGGAGGTGTGGGAGCACTTCCTGAGGATCAACACCACCGCGCCGTACCTGCTGACCAAAGAAGTGGGCCGCCTGATGATCGAGGCGGGCAACGGCGGGCGCATCATCAACATTGCCTCCAATGCCTCCAAGCAGGCCAGCGCTACGGGTGCCGCCTACAGCGCTTCGAAGTTTGCCGTGCTGGGGCTGACGCAGGCTTCGGCACTGGACCTGGCGCCGTATGGGATCACGGTCAACGCGGTCTGTCCCGGACCCATCAACACCGACCGGATGAGCTACTGGGAGCGGGACCAAGCCACGGAGCGAGGCATCACACAGGAGGAGTTCCGCAGTCAGATCGTGCAGGCCGGTGCTCAGTCGAGCCCGCTGGGGCGCATCGCCGAACCGCAGGACGTGGCCAATGTTGTGGCCTTCCTGGCGAGTGACGATGCCTCGTTCGTTACCGGGCAGGCCTACAATGTCAACGGGGGGCTGCTGTTCCACTAGGCCTCCTTCTTCCGTCGGCATTGAGCGGCGGCGATGCTAGCAGACAGCCGCGCCCAGGGGAATCCGGCGCCTTCTGAGCGGCTCGCGCACCACCAAAGTCAAGGCTGTGGCGGCGAGGGAAAGGGCCAGCATCAGGACGAACGCCAAGTTGTAATTGCCCGTAGAGTCGTAGATCCATCCTCCGGCGAGGGCGCCAAGGCCGCCCGTTATCTGGTGGATCATGGAGATGGTTCCAGTTAGCGTGCCCAAGCGGTGGGGACCGTAAATATTGCCGAGGAACACCACAGTCAGCGGCGCGGTGATCAGAAAGGTGAACCCGTAGAGCAGGCCGAATGCCAGAATGGCCGGGGTGTCCTGCGCCAGCAAGATCAGGGCGAAGATGCCGATGCGCATGATGAAGCACACCGCCGTGGGACGGGAAGCCCCGAAGGCGTCGGCCATGAATCCGGCCGCGAGAACGCCCAGCAACCCCATCACGCCCATCCATGCCAGCAGGTTCCCGGCGAGTACATCGCCGACACCCTGGTCCTGGGCGAATGCCACGATGTGGGTGGCGACGAAGAAATCCTGGAACCCGCAGATGGTGTAGATGCCCACGAGGAGCAGGAACGGCCTTGAGGCCAACGCCTGGCCGAATGTCAGGGGTTGAGGGGGCGGTTCGTTGCCCGACTCAATTGATGGTGTCTCGGCTGGGGCGGGGGGGCCCGGACGCACGATCAATAGCGTCAGAGGCAGCAGGACCGCAATGTTGGCTACCGCGAGGATGGTATAGGATGATCGCCATCCTATAGTTACCAGCAGCGAGGCCAGCGCGCCGACGATGAAGAGCTGACCGATGGCGTTTCCCGATACGGCCATGCTGGTGGCGACCCCACGCCTTTCGACAAACCACTGGCTGACCATGACCATGACAGGGGAGATGGAGGTGCCGGAGTTGCCCAAAGCGTAGACGACGCCGTACACAAGGAAGACCTGCCAGGAATAGTGGACCTGCCCCATCAGGACGAGACCGACAGCGCCTATGGCCGCTCCGATGGCGATGGTGCCGCGCAAGCTCCAGCGGTCCACGAGGCGCCCGACAAAGGGCATGGCGATGGCCGAGACCACCATGAACAGGGTGACTGCGAGGGAAAGAAGTGGAATGACACGAGTGTAATTCCATTGCAATCAACTGTGGTCCAAATTCCGAGCGAGTACGAAGTTACAACAGATGTCGCCCTGACTATAACTCCGGGAGGATAAATGATTCAGCATAGCCGGCATCGCGCTCAACCCTGCTCCGCTTGCGCGGCCCCGACCCCTCCCATGCCTCGAGAACTTCATACCTAGCGGGCCGCTCTAGCTCCTAACCTCATCTGTCCTCAAGGGTCGAATGTTTCCATGCAGTTGAGCGCAACGCTCAATGGCTCGAAGCGGGGCGTTTCTCCGTAGCACCCCTGACCTCCAGACGTGCATTCTCCTAAGTAAGTGGAGCTTCGCGATCCGAATTGGTTTGCCGCACCCACTCTTAACTATCTTCAACGCGGGCGGAGAGTAAATTGAGTACGACTGTGAGGTACGGTTGCACAGGAAAACCGGCAATACCACAACGAGGCAAAAAGAAGGGGCCTACGGAATCTACATTTTTTTGGATATTATGCGTGTGCGGGCGAAGAAAAAATTCTGTAACAACTTACCGATAACGAGACGGCGTTGTGACTGACTTCGAGAACAGACTAGAGAGTCTCAGCGATAGAAGGAGAAGGCAAAAGGTGGCTCCCTTCGGGATAAAATAGTAAACCCTCATCCTGTTAGCCACAACCTTAACGTCAAACGAGCGCCACTCATAATACAAGTAATTAGATTCCTGACCCCGTTGGGGGGTAACCGAAGCGTTCGCTGGGAACTTACTAAAAGGTCCAATTCGCACGAGAACCAACATTGAGGGGTCTAAAGGACCTCCGGAATCGCCAGATCGCCGATGCCAGCCCACTGAGGCAACTACCATCAGCCGATGGGCTCAAGACGTTGTATTGGTAGGAGAGTAATCTAGAGGGAGCATCTCTTCTTTCCCTAGGGGCTCCGGGTCCATATTCCGTCTGTAGGGGCGCCGAACACTCAATGGTCGTGCCGATCCATTGGGACTGCTCGAGCCAAACTCGGGCCCCTCACCCTCACTCTCACCTACCGAGAAAATCATTAAGGGCTGTGTCTTCGGGTTCTCAGCACCGATGGATACTAGACCGCCTCTGGCCTCAGATGATGCCCGAACTTCAGCAACCCCTCTAGTCACCTTTGCGTACCTGTTGACACTCTCCCAGTTAGGAAGCTTATTGGCCCATACAACCACTCTCCCAAATAGTTTGCACAGGCGCATTTCCCGCCCCTCAACCAAGCCCATGGCCGAATACCTGAGGTACGCCGACCCGTAAGCACCAGCCAAGCGGCCTGATATTTCCCTATTCTTGCACTGAACGCTAGCTGCAGCCAAACCTGGCTGCGACACCGGCTATCCCCTAACGACCATTAACCGCGGTTCCATGCAGCCAGCCCGGTGTCAGAGTTACGAATACATAAGCGCATTGAAGCTGTCGGGGGGGAGTTTTGATGAGGGTCTTTGCTGACCCCCAAGGCAATTCAGGCCCTCGGGTCGACGAACCAACCTTCGCGCGGGTCAAGAAGATCATATTCATGGTAAAAACTAGTATAAAGGGGGAAGTCTTGCCAATACGCTCGCCCACCAAGGAAAAAGACCGTTGCCCAAATACGTTGCTGAAAGAAACCGACGAGACATCCTGGCGTAAGATACGGCGTAGCCGTCGCGCTTCACCATGGCAAGCTTATAAGCATCTTCTACAGTCTGGCTCGCACAACAAGAATGGCAGCGGGCTCCATCCCCGTAACTATCCAGAACGAACCTGCCGGACCTAAGGGACCGTGAATCACAAATGGCGCAGGCATCGGCAAAATGACCACGAATACGAATGCAGGGCTTAAACGCCCCGCGAGAACTGAGCAAAAGATATAAATGAGTCGCAACCTACGTTGGGCGTGGAAGGAGGAGAAAGTCGAGGAGGGCAAAGATTTCAAACGACCTAAGATGACCTCGCAACAGTGCATGAGGACTAGAGGAAAAGCAAAGGTTAAGGACAAAGGTAAGACACTAGGCCCAAGGGGAGGTTGAGGCGGCTATTTCGAAGCATGACTACAGGCAATCCGCGGGTGGCGGCGAACTGTGAAACCTTGGCCGATCGTCATCAATGCCAGGAAAGTCCCGGATCATATACGGTGAGTTGAAAAACGAAGAAAGTAAACCGACAACGGCGCGGCAGTGAGGCAATCGAAGTCAAGACCGCGTTCAGCGGCGCCTCGGGGTCGGTTAAGTGGCGAGAAAAGGGAGTAATGAGCGCATTAAGGGTGAAGACACGATGGGGGTAGATACCAAGTGGAAGGAGAAAAGGAGAGCACCGAGAAACGAGAGGCGGGGAAGAATTAGTGGGATACCCAACAAAACAGTGCCTGTGCGGTGAAGAAGGCCAGGGCAAATAAATGGCTGAAATAGGGTGGTTGCTGGATTGACGGCATGGGCGGGAGGGATGCCGACCCGATACAGAATACGAAACTCACATCCCGCGACTATGCTACCCGCGGCTTCCTTCACCTTGGTTCATGGTTCGGTCCCCCTCTTGGCAGAGAAAAATAGTAGGCGTTCGCATAAGTCCGAAGGCGAAGCGGGAGCCGCCGCTGAAGAACAATATGGAGAACCCAGCGGCGAGGATCATCCAGCTGTAGTCGGGGCGTCTCATGGGCAGTCAGTCATGCTCGTGACGTGGAGGAGCGACCTGGGAAGTCCACAGTCAGTCCATTCAGGCATTTACTCAAAAGGGCAGGTACTCGACCTGCCCTCGTGAGCAAAACCATTCAGTTGCAGTTGCCGGTGGGCTAGCGGAACAGGCCCCGGACCGTTTTGATAACCCGCTCCTCGTTGGGCAGGTAGATGTTCTCGAGCGCACGGCTATATGGGACCGGAGTGTGGGGGGAAGTCACGCGAGACGGCGGGGCGTCCAAGTAGTCAAAGCCCTCTTCGGCGATACGGGAGCAGATTTCAGAGGCCAAGCTGCACACTGGCGTGTCCTCGTCCACCACGACAAGGCGGTGGGTCTTGCGCACCGACTCCAGGACATGGTCGTAGTCGATGGGCGAGATGCTGAGGAGGTCAATCACCTCGGCGTTGATGCCCTCCTTGGCCAGCTCTTCGGCAGCGTTGTTGGCAATCCAGGTCATTTTGGAGATGCCGACGATTGTGACGTCTGTGCCTTGGCGCACTGTGCGGGCCTTGCCGATGGGGAAGATGTAGGATTCTTCCGGCACCGGGCCGCGGTTGGTATACAGGCCCTTGTGCTCGAAGAACACCACCGGGTCGTCGTCGCGGATGGCCGCGGTTAAAGCCCCTTGGCGGTGTAGGGGTCGGAAGGCCACGCCCTTCAGGCCCGGGATATGGCTGAAGATGGAGTAGTAGGACTCGGAGTGCTGGGCTGCGCTGCCGAATCCTGCCCCGATGCGGGTAAGCATTACGAAAGGCACCTTAACCTGGCCACCGAACATGTAACGCATCTTGGCGGCATTGTTCAGCATCTGGTCCATACAGACGCCGATGAAGTCGACGAACATCAACTCGGCGATGGCCCGCATGCCGGTGGACGCGGCGCCGATGGCAGTGCCAACGAAGGCGGCCTCGGACAGGGGAGTGTCGAGCACCCGCTGGTTGCCGAACTGCTGGATGAGGCCTACGGTGGTCCGGAAGGGCCCGCCCCAAGCATCGACGATGCCCAAGTGCTCGCGACCCGCGCCGCCAGCGATCTCCTCACCCATGATAATGACCGATTCGTCGCGCTCCATCTCCTGCCGTATGGCCTCGTTGATGGCCTCGCGAACCTGCAATTCCCTGACGCCGGTGGCTGTCGTCATCGCTCTCTCCTGTTGTTGACGGGCGCACGGCTATGCGCCCCCACATTGAACTTGCTTGAGTGCAGCGTTCCGGAACTGACTGACTAGCGGCATCTGGCGCCTGCGGGGCATCATGTCAGCGATCAGTGCGACATTTAAAGCGTCTCGGAGAGCTCGTGGGGTTCGGGGAGAGGGCTCTCATCGGCGAACTTCACCGCTTCCTCCATCAGAGCGGCGATTTCGGTGTCGATGGAGTCCAGTTCCTCGGCGGTGATCTCACCCTGGTGGATCACTGTCTCGCGGAACAGCTTGAGCGGGTCCCGTCCCCGCCAGTGGTCTTCCTCTTCCTGGGTGCGGTAGGAAAGCGGGTTGTCGAAGACAGTGTGGCCGTAAAAGCGATAGGTGCGGCATTCCAGCAGAGAGGGGCCTTCGCCGGCGCGGGCGCGAGCCACCGCCTCTCGGGCTGCATCGAATACTGCGAAGACGTCCATCCCGTCGACGTGGATGCCGGGCATATCGTATCCGGGGGCGCGGTCGGAGACGCGGCTGGTCGAAAGGGCGTACTCCACCGGCGTGGACTCGGCGTAGCCGTTGTTCTCGCAGCAGAAAATGACCGGCAACTTCCACACGGAAGCCAGGTTCATGCATTCGTGCAACACGCCCTGGTTGGCGCCGCCGTCGCCGAAGAAGGCCACGGCCACCCGCTTGTTGCCGTACTTCAGCTTGGAGGTCAGGGCTGCGCCGACGGCCAAGGGGACGCTGCCGGCCACGATGCCGTTGGTGCCGAGCATGCCCTTGCTCATATCAGCGATGTGCATGGAGCCGCCCTTGCCCTTGTTGGGCCCGGTGGAGCGTCCGAAGAGCTCGGCCATCATGCCCTTGGGGTCGACGCCCTTGGCGATGCAGTGGCGTGCACGGTGAGTGCGCTGCGATGGGGTAGTGCACACGTCAGTGCGTGTTTTTTCTGTGAGTGGCGCAGACTAGGCCGGTCGGCGACGCTTCCTGTCCGGCGGACGAATGCACGGAGGCAGACATACCGCGCTGCCCAGTTTCCGGTATGCCCCGCTCTTCGAAGTCGCGGATGGTTTTCATGGTGCGATAGAGTTTCAACAGTGCTGCGCGGTCGAGGTCCATATTACCCCGAATTGCGAAATCTGGATTTGGAGTGAAGTCGTTTCGTATCAGGTCGAAATTTTCCCAATACTAGCAGCCACGAGGCAATCTATGTCAATCGAAGAGCTCTGCCGCGGGCACTCGCGTCTTATTAACTCAGCACCAAAATGGTCTGATGGCGGTGGAGATGGAGTGGAGTGGACAGTGCCTCTTTCGGTCCCGGGTGTTCGAGGTTAGACGGGGGTTGGGTCCCGCCTGTCGCGGGGATGACGAAAGATCGCGGGGATGACGGTTGGTGGGTGGTGCCGAGGGAGGCGGTTGGTGCCTGAGGGCTGTTGGTGTGATCCTCCTTCCGGTGTGGGTTGCGGTGGGTGGTCGGTTGGGTCTGCTTAGTAGTCAGGGGTATGGAAATCGGCTGACATTGCTGACACTCCTGTCATGGGTGGGTTATGCTTTGGGTCCCGCTTCGCGGGGAGATGACGAAAGATCGCGGGGATGACGGTGGTGCCGTGCGCGGTGGGCAGCGACGTTGCATGGCGGTTAGGGTGTGCTGAGAAGTTCGCCATTCCCGATCATTCCCGATATGTTCATGGGGTGCCTCAGGGAAGATTGGGTTAAGATCCCGAAAGTCGTGAGTGAGAGCAAGCCCGAGCAAGCAGAGAGGAGGGAAAGTAAAATAAGCAGAGAACAGCAACGGAGAGGCTAGCGCTAGCTTAGGTCGAGTCGATGGAAAGTTAGCAAGGAACGGAACAGAGACTGGCAGGAGCAGTACGAGGGGTTAGAGAGGAGTAGGAGGTCCAGCCTGGCAGTCCAGGACGTGATAAAGGGTACGCAGGACACCCGGGAGAGAAGCCAAATGGAACACGAAAGACTGGAGGGCCCTAAGAATAAGGAGAAGGAGGGGGGATGGGGGGAAGAAATATAAGACGGGGGGGAATGAAGGGGGGAAATGCAATGTGAAGAATAGACGGGAAGTAGAGAAGAGTTGGGTGGGGAAAAGGGAGGTAAGTTAACGGTGTATAGGAAAATAAAAAGGAGTGGGGAAGGAAACGGGGGAAGAAGGTGGTTGGTGGGTGTTTTGGGGTGGGGGGGGTGGTGGTGGGTTTTTTGGTTGGGGGTGTGGGTGTGGTGTGGTGGGGGGGGGGTTGGGGTTTTGTTTGTGGTTGGTGTGGGGGTTGGGGTGGTTTGTTGGGGTTTGGGGTGGTTGGTGTTTGTTGGTGGTGGTGGTGGGGGGGGGGGTGTTGGTGTTTTGTTTGTTGGGTTTGTGGGTGTGGTTTGTTTTGTAAAAGCAATGGGGGGGAATCTGGACTCTACCCCACTTACAGGGCCTCCGGCGTTTAAGACGCGATTGCCCTGGCTTCTGCCGAGTGGTGGGGTTCCGAACGGCGTGGTCGAGTGCTCTCTTAGCCCCGAGGGCAGTTGCCTTGGCCGTTAATAGCACATTGCCGTTGGCCTCCGCAGTCTTGCCTGGTGGGCCGGGGTTTGCTTTCTCGGTCGCGTCAGTCTCACGCTTCGCCCGTGTGTGGATGGGGAGAGGGATATGTCCGGGCTTCACCCGGCGGTACCCCAAAGCGTGCAATTGTGCGCATTTTTCCAGAAATGCCGGGTCTCGGGGAGCGACCTGTTCTTTAATAGAGTAGAGGGCCCGGCCTATGTTGGAGCTACGGATGGCGGGGCCGCATTTCGGGGCGGTGCATGGTTATGCCCCCTTTGAAGCGGGCGACTCCCCGGAAGTCCGGGTTTCCGTAAGGGACCTGACCGACGATGCAAGGTGCATTACAGAGACTGTGGAACGTTGTCGCCGGGAGAAATTTTCAATTTCCCGCCTATTTCCGCTCATTTCCGCTCATGTTTGCAGAGGCCGGTTCAGGTGTGACAGCGGTGGAGAACTAAGTAGTAATTAGTACATAAATTCGATTATAGGTGTATCATGCCTTGGTTTGCAAGGGGATGGATGTCAGGAGGCAGGGCAATCGCGTCTTATTGCTCAGCACACAAAATTGGTCTGAATGGCGGTGGAGATGGGAGTGGCAGTGCCTCCTTCGGTTCCGAGTGCGAGATTAGACGGGGTTTGATGACCCGCTGCGCGGGATGACTGACTCATAGGCCTCGGCGTTTTAGACGCGATTGCCCTGATGTCAGGAGGCGGCGTTTTCTTTGGGTGGTCTGGTGGAGAAACATCGGGTTGGCGTGGGGAATGGGAGGGTTTCAAGCCCGCCCCAACGGGGGGACTATCACCTGGACGGGAACGTTTCGGCTGGCCGCCGGGGAGATTCCTGGCTCCACTCGGAGTGGCATTGCTCTGAACAGCGGGTGGGGAGCGCTTGGGGATTTACGCGGGGGTGAGAGTAACCGTTATCGGCTCGCCGGGGCCCGCGGAGAGGGCCGAGGCGGCGCTGCCGTTGGGAACGGCAACCTCGAGGTAGCCGTGGCTTCCGACGAGGGCCACAGGGCCGGATGAGGGGGTGGCATCGTTGAAGGTTCGACTGAGCCGAGAAATCGCGCGGCCACGGATTCGAATCTCTCCGATGTTCCGATCTTCGATCAGGCCCTGGGGGATGCTGCTGATGAGGTTTCCATAAACGTCGCAGTAGATGATCTCACCTCGGATGCTACTGTCATCAAGGCGAGGGGCCGGTATTGGCTGATATTCCAGCTCGTTTGTCAGTTCGCCCATGGACTCTGGCGGGACACCCAGGGACAGGTGGGCGGCCACCGGCGTGAAGATGTCGCGGCCGTGGAAGGTGCTGCTGACCGGGTGTAGCCAATAGTCCGGGTTGGTGAGGTGGAAGGCCTGCACCGTCGAGGGCAATGGCACTTTGCTTGAATCGCCCGGAGGATTAGGGAGGTAGATTTCAAGCACGCGGCTGAGCAGGCCGTTGTCCGGGGCAACGAATGTTCCGTGCGCAGTTCGCAACAGGACAGGGCGCCGGGAAGTTCCCACGCCGGGGTCTACCACTGCCACGTGGATGGCGTTGGCTGGAAAGTACCTGAAGCTTACGCCCAACGCAAAGGCGCCCTGGGCGATGTTTTGCGGGGCGACCTGATGGGTCAGGTCGATGAAGTGCAGGTCGGGATTGATGCCAAGGGCGACGCCCTTCATGACACCGGCGTAGGAATCGGACAGCCCGAAGTCGGTAGTGAATACCAGCAGCGGGACACTCATCATGTGATAGGCCGACGAAAGAGGGAGGGCTTCATCCAGATTGGTGGAGGCGGCAGTGGATCAGTGTAGCAACCGCACCACGGCGATGGACAACCCCAGGAAAACTATCGCCAGGATGATGGTCAGCTGGAAAAGGGTCTTTTCGGCACCGCGCCTGGTCCGCACGGTAGACTGGGCAGAGCCGAACAGTCCGCCGCTGCCCTCCTTGACCTGCGCCAAGATTATCAGCACGAGAACTAACGAAATCACCAGCTGAACAATCAGGATTATTGTTTCCATCTACCCCATCACCATGTGTTTGACATCGGTTCGAATTTTATGAAGCCCGGCTGGCATCGCTGAATTTCAGACACCAAGCGGGCAAGGTTTTCAGTCAACCCCGGCTTTCGCCCGGTCGAGGGCGGCCGTCACCAGTTGATTCACCAAATCGGGCTTGGCCTGACCCCGGGTGATTTTCATAACCTGTCCGACTAGGAATTTGGCGGCGGATTCCTTGCCGCCAAGGTAGTCGGCCACGGCGCGGGGGTTGGCCTCCAGAGCCTCGAAGACGGCGGGTTCTACAGCGGAGGTGTCGCTGATCTGGGTGTAGCCGCGTTCCTCGACGATCCGCCTTGGCTTTCCGCCGGTGTTGTAGGCCTCTTCCAGCACGGTTTTGCCCATGGTTACGCTGATGATCCCATCGCCAACCAAGCCTATCAACTCTACCAGACTTTCGGGCGAAACTGGCGACTCAGAAATGTCGCGGTTGTCCTGATTCAGCAGTCCAGACAGGTCTCCGAGCATCCAGTTGCTCACCTGCTTGGCGTGGGAGTTCAGCGCGTCTCCCGACAGCGCCTGCAGGCAAACTGCGGTCTCGAAGTAGTCGGCCATGGCTTTGCTGTCGGTGAGCAGGCGGGCGTCATATTCGGACAGGCCGTAGTCCTGCTGGAACCGGGCGCAGCGTTGCGTTGCGAGCTCGGGGAGGCGACCGCGAATTTCCTCGACCCAAACAGGGTCGATGTCGAGCGGCGGGAGGTCAGGCTCCGGGAAGTAGCGGTAGTCGTGGGCGTCTTCCTTGCTGCGCTGCGAGACCGTGACAGCGCGGCCTTCGATCCAGCCGCGGGTTTCCTGGACGACACGGCCGCCGCCCTCGAGCACGCGGCGCTGCCGTTCAATCTCGAAGTTGAGGGCCTGGAAGACTGACCGGAAGCTGTTCATGTTCTTGATTTCGGTGCGGTTGCCGAACTCCTCGCTGCCCGCGGGCCGAAGGCTGATGTTGGCGTCGCAGCGGAAGCTGCCGTCCTGCATGTTGGCGGTGGACACGCCCAGGTACTGCAGCAGGGAATGGAGCGTCGTGAGGTAGGCCCGGGCTTCCTCTGCCGAGCGCATGTCGGGTTCGCTGACGATCTCCATCAGCGGGACTCCGGAGCGGTTGACGTCGACGAGGCTGTAGCCTCCGCTGTCGGCTGGGAAGTGTTGCAGCTTGGCGACGTCCTCCTCGAGGTGGACGCGGGTCACACCTACGGCCTTCGTTTCGGCCTCGGTCTCGATCTGCAGGCGGCCATCAATGGCGAGGGGCAGGTCGTATTGAGAGATCTGGTAGCCCTTCATCAGGTCGGGGTAGGGGTAGTTCTTGCGATCGAACTTGGTCAGGCGGGGAATGTCGCAGTTGAGCGCCAGGCCGGTCATCACCGTATACTCGACGGCGCGCCTGTTGATGACCGGTAGTGCGCCGGGCAGCCCGAGACACACCGGGCACACGCGGCTGTTGACCGGGGCGCTCTGGTAGTCGGCGCGACAGGAGCAGAACATCTTGCTCTGCGTCCGCAATTGCACATGGACTTCCAAGCCTATTACGGTTTCGTATTCCATTCCCTTTCCGACCAGATATAGTCAGGTAGAAAATTATACGGCTTCGGCAACTGCGTTGGTCTCAATGAACTCGATAATCCACTGGCGGACAGCCTGAGCGGTCTGTTCCTCGACTGGGACGTCGTGGTAGACGGAGCCTGCCAAGCATTCGTGCAGGTAGCGGGCGGCGCTGGTGGCGTGGGAGGCGTCGGCGCCGGGGATGATCACCGACGGCACCTGCAGAGCCATGAGTTCGCTGGATTCCGGGCCAGTTGCGGTGTCGCGGTCGAAGAGCGCCTGCCTCCATCAAGGCGACCATTGCGAGGTAGCGCGCCAGGTCCTGTTCGGCGAAGTCGGCGGCGAATGTTTCGTCGGCGCAAATGGTCGATGCCCAGGGACCGGCCTGGGGTTCTGCCCAGAAGCTGCCGCCCTTCTTTGCCAGACGGACTACGGCGGCCAAGCCGTTTTCCTTGACGAAGTCGATGTGGGACCCGAACCGGTCCAGCCCGTTCTGCCGCCAGTGTGCGCCGCCGACAGGCCAGTGCAGGAGCAGCCCCAGGGTGGCTTCGGGATAAGTAACGCCGAAGGCTGTGGCTGTGGAGCATCCCATGCATCCGCCGAGGACGAAGGCGCGAGAGATACCCAGGACGTCCAGCAATCCCTTGGCCTCGTGGGCATAGGTGGTCCAGGAAACGCGCTCCACCTTGCCGCCGGAGAGGCCGGCTTCCCGCCGGTCGTAGGCGATGCAGGTGTAGCGACTGGTGAGCGTTTCCAATGGGTTCATTTCGGCCCACACGCCGGCATTCGTCCACTTTTCAATAGTGGAATCGAAACCGCCTGGGGCCATCATGAGCAAGGGGGCACCGGAGCCACGTACTTCGTAGCGGATGTTGATTCCGTTAATGTCGGCGTATGGCATTCCGGCTCCTTTTAGTGATTCGCGGGTAATACAGCGGCAGACTGCTACGCCCGGCTATGGAGCCGAGGGCAGCAGGCAGGCCGAGTTTCCAAGGGCGCATCGTGGCGCATCAACCGGACAGGCCGCTGGAGACGGAGCATTGACTGGGCTGTTGAGCCGATGTCGGCAGGTGTCGGGATGATGTGGGCGCCGGCCTCACGGAAGGCCCTTACTTTCGCCTCGGCGGTGGCGCTTTCGCCGGTGATGATCGCTCCGGCGTGGCCCATGCGCTTGCCCGGAGGGGCGGAGGCCCCAACTACCAGGGTGGCGATGGGCTTGGTGAGTTCCGCGCCGATGTAGGCGGCGGCGTCCTGCTCCATCTGCTCCCGCCGATCTCTCCGATCAGTACCACTGCGTCGGTGTCGTCATCCTCCTGGAACAGACGGAGCACTTCGACGAAGCTGGTGCCGATAATCGGATCGCCACCGATTCCGACGCAGGTTGACTGGCCGAGGCCCAAGCCCGTTAGCTGTCCGACAGCCTCGTAGGTGAGGGTGCCGCTGCGGGAGACGATGCCGACCCGTCCGGGCAGATGGATGGCCCCAGGCATGATACCCACTTTGCAGCGGGCGCCGGGGTGTTTTGCAGGGGTTTGAGTGGTGGTCGTTGTTTTTCGGTGGAGCACCAGTTGTGCTGGTGTGTGGATGATGCCGGGGCAGTTGGGGCCGATGAGCCGCACCGGCTGGTCTTCGAGGTATCGTGCGACCCGTACCATGTCAATTCCGGGCACGCCCTCTGTGATGCAGGCGATGAGCGGTACGGCGATCGCCGGCAATCGCGGACGGCCATTTCACGATGGCGTCGGAGCGCGAGGCGGGGGAGGGAACAAAAATCAGTGCCATATTTGTGCCGGTCTCGGCGACGGCTTCCTCAACCGAGTTGAACACCGGCACCTTATCCTCGAAAAGAAACCCGCCGCGGCCGGGAGTGACTCCAGCGACCACGTTGGCGCCATAGGCCATGCGTTT